AAAAAAATATACCAAAAAATAAACAAAACTCCAAAACCACTCCCTCCTAGGAATTATGAAAGAAATGGATGATGAGAAATGAATTGAAAGGGATAATTTGTGTGAACAATTCACTCTCCTCGTTTTTGTTTGGTGATTCCAAGTAAAATGGATTTATCTCTGGATTTGTCAACTATTCCTATACATATTTTTAGGAGATAAGGACGTTGTATGCTACGTTTCATATACTTCTCTCCAGCAAAGCATTCCTTCATTAGACTGTTATCAATGCTCAGGGGTGGGGGATGGTAGGTTGTCATCTGGAGCTTTTCTTGACTTGTTGGTTATGGTCTCAGTCAAATGCCTGCTCCACCTCTTTCACTACTAAAGCTGATGACTCATCTCTCAACTGTTTTCTCAACATCCACAAAATGAAGTATTGGATTAAAGAAAACAAATGAGAAAAAAAATTTTATGTATGAACTAATACAGCCTTAGCCTTGCTATGAGCACTCAGGTATTCATCTCTAGCCAGTGGTTCTCAACCTTCTGGCCCTTTAAATACAGTTCCTCATGTTGTGACCCAACCATAACATTATTTTCGTTGCTACTTCCTAACTGTAATGTTGCTACTGTGATGAATTGTAATGTAAATATCTGATATGCAGGATGGTCTTAGGCAACCCCTGTGAAAGGGTCGTTCGACTGCCAAAGGGGTCGCGACCCACAGGTTGAGAATCGCTGATCTAGACTTTTCTCCAGAGAAGGATCAGAGATCAAGTTTATAGTTGATCTTTAAAAAAAAAAAAGTTTGTGTTGATTCTAGAGAGAAAAGAAGGGAGAGGGGGAGAAAGAGAAACATCAGTGTGAGAGAGAAATATCAGTTGGCTGTCTCCTGCACACCCCCTACCAAGGATCGAGCCATCAACCCTAGCATGTGTCCAGACCAGGAACTGAACCAGTGACCTTTTGGTGCATGGGACAATGCTCAACTCACCGAGCCACAGCAACAACGCCTATAGTTGCTCTTTACAGTTCTGTGTTTGAGGCTACCCAGAACCTAACATGCCTAAAGCTACAAAAAAGATATTGAAAAAGTTGATCACAGCAGTGTTAGCACAATGATGAAATCAACTCCAGAAATTGTCCCAAACTTTGGTACAAGCTGCTCTGTGAAACGTTCCTGTTTTAACAGGACTTTTGCTCACTATACCAGAGAGCTTATTCTATTGTTATAAAACCAACCTTTATTCCACAGTGCTTTGTACCAGAGAGATTCTAATCTGTGAAGAAAAAAATACTAAAGTCATTTCCAGTTAAAGGGAAGAGCATAAAAGGTTCCTTCGGCCATCAGAAATATGAAAAGAAACGAGTCAAGTTGTGCTTTCCCAGACTCTTTCTTTCCATTGATCAGGCAAGGACTCATCAACCATTTCATCACAGGGGAAAGGCTGATGAACCTAAGTTTATGAGGGAACATTTGTGCTGGGAACAGATGAAATCAGCAATCCAGGAAGCTCAGCAGGAGGGAGCAGGGACTTGAAGAAGGAAGACTCAAGGGAAAATCTCTCCAGTAAATCAGGACACTACTTAGTGTAGCTCAAGAGCTGGCTCTTATCCCTCCCTCCGGCACTTCCTGCTTAACTTTTGGAAATCAGCCAGTGTTGTCATTAACACTCCCCTCCCCCAGCAACGACTGCTTCTCGGAGGCATGAAACAGAATAAAATCCTCCTCTTTTTCGATAGTGAGGTAACTGCGAATCACATGAAGCGCTTCCTTCCTTCCTGTAGAACCGAGCATTTTTAGGAAGTTGTGCGTGATGCCTGGGCTCTCATGGGCAATGGTTAGGGTTCTGAATCCTCTATTTCACCTTTTAGGTAAAGGCTGCAGACCAGGAACCCAGGGTGGCCCCAGCTACACAACTGTGGAAGGGGAGGTGTTGACATTGCCGTAATTTTTTCTCTCTGTAGACTTTCATTTATTTAATTTATTTGTAAAATTTAGTTTTATTGTTGAAAGTATTACAGATGTCCCATTCTGTCCCCCCCTCCCCCCACCATTGACCCATTCCATCTAGCTCCCACCCCCTCCCCAGGCCTTCACTGCACTCTTGTCTGTGTCCATGGGTTATACTTATATGCACACAAGTTCTTTGGTTAATCTCTTCCTGTTATACTTCCCACCCCCACCCCTTCCCTCTGAGATTCATCAGTATCTTGCATGCTTCCATGTCTCTGGATCTATTTTGTTCGTCAGTTTATTTTGTTCCTTAGATTCCACATATGAGTGAGATCATGGGATACTTGTCTTTCTCTTAACATCATACTCTCCAGGTCCAGCCCACCAACATTTCTGTCTCCAAGTCCAACCTCATCCTAAATGATTAACAATTTTTACAACACGGAAATGCTATTATTTTACTGTTAGATCAAAGCATGCAGATAATACAAATGTGCTCCTTTTGTCAGAAAATTCTAGTATTCTGCATTGCCAACATATTCTTCCCCTTGAGAAATATTCCCCACATCTGCCCATTTCAGCAGGGACCAGCACATTGCTACCTACCCTTCAGGTCTTTTTAGACACTTCCATTCTTCCTAGATTCTCTGATTAGGTTAGTCCCCTCTATCACATACCCTCATGACACCATCCATTTCCCTTCTCACATTCTTCCCTCTTGTGGTACCAGCTGTGCCCCACTGGACAGCGGGCTACATGGGCTACTGCCTATCTCATTCACCACTGTCTCCTCTATAAGTAGCATGATGTCTGATACCTATTGGGCTCTTAATAAAAACTTATGGGCTATTGCTAAATGACAACTTCATTTTCCCTTTAATTAATGACTCTCATTAGCACTTTTAAATTATAATCAATGTTACCAAAAATTGGTATACCCACACACTTTACAGGAACATAGAACTGTGCAGTGACAGTAATACCTGTTACTTGCATAGCTTGTGCAGTTTAGAAAACTCTGTCTTATCCATTATTTTTTTATTTTATTCTGACAATCACATTGTGAGGTCAGTAGGGTGGGCATTGCTATTCTGACTTGAGGCCCAAAGAAGCTGAAGCTCAGGCAGTTTTCCACCACTTTAAGTGGCGAGCAAGGGCTCACTTTCAGGGTCTATGCCAGTGATGGCGAACCTTTTGAGCTCGGCGTGTCAGCATTTTGAAAAACCCTAACTTCACTTTGGTGCCGGGTCACATATAGAAATTTTTTGATATTTGCAACCATAGTAAAACAAAGATTTATATTTTTGATATTTATTTTATATATTTAAATGCCATTTAACAAAGAAAAATCAACCAAAAAAAAGGAGTTCGGGTGTCACCTCTGACACGCCTGTCATAGGTTTGCCATCACTGGTCTATGCCATTCTCATAATGGCGGATAAACCCTTCCACCAGGGGTTTTCTCACTGCCTTCCAGAAACTTGATTATATCCTTTTAATCCAATTCATTTGCAATTGGGTTAATATCCTCTTTCTCGTCCCAAATCAGTTCTACCAAACCACTGGCACAAAGAGTGCAAATCAGGGGCCTAAAGACCGTGTTGCATAGATTCCATCCTGCTAGTTGTGAATTTCCTCCCCCCATCCCCAAATACATCTTACCAAGGTCACTGTTGTTTTCTGGCCTTACACCAGGGCATGGCACCGGGCCAGCACCTAAAGGACCTGCCACACACTGTTGTGGGTTCACACCAGTTCTCCATCACAAAGTGAGCTGAGAGACCATCTACCCCTGCAAGGTCCTGTAGGAACGTCAGCGAAAAGAGACCTCCTTTAGAACTGAATGACCATCAGAGGCCCTTGGTGGCTTAATTTCCATTGATGAGTACAGTGATGGCCTTCACCTGTCCTGTCCTGTCACAGTGAGTGA